CAAGGCAGTTTGTTGAAGTATTTGTTTCGTAAAGAAAAGTTTCTAACGATAAACATTACATAATTCATCGACCATTTGTTATAAAGCGAGCATATACTTTACAAAACACAAATAACGGATTCGACTAAATTATGAAAACAGAAAAAAAGATGTATTTCAATAAACATGTATTTTATGCATCATTACTGTAAACATAATACCTCCCATCATTTGATGAATAATGAACTATATCTTGGCACGATCTGAATTGAAAGAACAGAACGACTTTTCGTTGTTTCAGAAACATGTTTAAGTTCGGTCACATATGAAACATTTATGGCTACAGTTTTCCCGGATGTAATATTCACGACAAAACAATTGAAAACCGCAGACCAGTATAAGGGCTATCAAAGAGCTTCAATGTATTATATATTATATTATCAATTTATTAAACCTTCAGAGATAATTATAACGACTAAAAGAATTTTCGTGTCATGGATTATTTGTGACATAATATTGAGATATCAATGTAGACTTTGCTATCGGCTTTAATATAAATATTTTTAAGGTACCGTAAATTTATTTAATAAAATGGAATCCTACATCTTTTATTATCATTATTCGTCATGAAAACCGAGAGTACAAAATAGCAATTATAAAAATCGTTTTAATGTATACAAAGCTCAATATCAGGCAGAGTCAATAACGACTTTAGTACATATACTTTCTTTTACTTTTATTCACTAAAACGTGCAAAAGGATTGAAATTTTGCTTGGTTTAAGGACTAGTGATCCTTAATAAACAAGAAATAAGTTACCGTACCTTTTTACAAAATATTAAGCTAATCAAATTATGAATATATTGGGTAATATTCCCGTTTACCTGTGATACTACATTACCGGAGTTGAATTTCCGGGAAAAACGATATAATTTCGAATTCGTTGCATTGATCCGTTTTGAATTTTGGCGTTCGATATAACCTTCAGGTGTAATTGGCCATCATAAATTTTATTCATAAGTTCGTAAGTTTCTTTTTTTTTTACATAAATTGCTTATAGCTTATTATTACCCTGTAACAATATAAGGTATACCTCCATGATTTTATTATAATTCTGTCAAGGATTTACTCAAATATTGCTGCTGTTATTAAGTATTTATATTTCAAGTCTTTAGGAATGATAAGTACTAAGGAGTTAGGTAAATTTGGTAAGCTAGTTATTTCAGTATCTTTACAGATGGGTATTTCTAATTTTCGATTTCTTTGCAATCCATCTATAGTGTTCATATGTCATCCTTATTAGTATCTGTAATAGTTAAATTATTGATTGTTCATCATAAATGATTATTTCAAGATTTCTGATCATTTCTTCCATTTCCTTAATAATTGCTTTGTTGGCTTTTGTTACTTCCTCTCGTTCTCTAACCTTTTCTTATAAACATTTGAATTGCGAACGTAATCTTTCATAATTCCTTAATTTTCGTTTCCAAGTCTTTAGGGTTTTTCTAAATTGTTTATTAAAACTATTTTTTTTTTAAAAAAAAAAAAAAAATTAAGAACTCTAAATGCATAGATAATTACCAATAGAAAATTCCCTAAATTCAGAAAGGACCTAATCGATTCTTGCATTGGATCGTCTTACCAAATAAAGTTTTTAAATCTACTAATATCGTCATAAAATAATTTTATGCTGAAAAGCTTGTATCATTTTGAAGATTGCATTATTAGTTTAATTTTAGATGAATGCCTAATTGAGAATAAAAATTTCCTTACTACGTTTAGCTTAGAAACGAAACAAGGAATCATTTACAACATTTACATGACGAATATTTTGCTCAACATTATTTTTGGTTAGACCTCGGTAGATTAATTTGGCCAAATTGGCCTTTCCGGCCAATTGTTTCTCTGACAATATCCTCCGGCGTTGAGACAACACTTGACTAATTGAATTTATTAAATAATATTTATATCATACACACCTAATATTAAAACCTTTTGATTACCATTCTTTTGATTTATAAATATAAACGTAAGAACTGAGGAAGAATTATCAAGTTAAGCCGTTTGAGAAGACAGGGATCGTATAGTGTTACGATCATATTACATATTTACATTATAGCCTTATCTTCTCGAACAATTTGTCGTCAGACACGTGAAAATTTTATTGTTGCTAAATTAGGATAAGAACGACGATTCAGTATATAACTTCACCACAAATTCACTTTTTTCTCCTAAACAAATCCCCTTCATCTCGCTATTTAGAATATTAAAATATTTCGAGATTTATCTATTCTAACATGGTACACGCTCAAGATTTTATAGAAAATAAATTTCCTAAAGATGTTAAAGAAATCAGAGCTTATAATGATGATCTAGAGGGACATTTAGATTTATCAAAATATCCTAATTTAAACAAAATAGAATTTGGATCCAATTCTCGATTAAGAAGTTTAAAACTTGCTCGCCCGAACAAAATTTCTTATATAAGCATCTTTCATTCCGGCGTCGATGATTTAACTTTTTTGGCAGACACTCCTAATTTACAGACAATATGTTTGTCTCGAACAGGAGAGAAAATTGGTGATGGTCCTGGTAATGCTTATATTGCCAAAGCGCTCCGAGAAGCTTGCCAAGAGAATTACAGATTGCTAAGTCAATCTGATCAACAAATAGAGCGAGAGAGAGAAAATAATAAGGAGTTAAAGCAAAAGTTTGCTAATGCCCAACAGGAAAATCAAGCATTAAAAAACCAAAGCCAGCAGAAACAGCAAATTATTAACGATCAACAAAGTCAGATGAACGAATTGTCCAATATAGCCTTTCCTAATAATCCGTACGATTTCACTAAACTCAAACAAGACATTATCCGACTTAAATTCCAAGAATTAGCACCGCAAGTAAGAAATGAAAGCGCGAAGTTGGTACGGTTAATTTCTGAAGCAAAAAACAAAGCGGGCAATTTTTCTTCCGTAGTTGACTTAATCTTAGATACCCAAAGGCAAATCGTGAAAAAAAACGAAACTTCTCAGCAAGATAAATTAATTGGTATTATGGAAGCTTACCAAACAATTCTTGCAAGCAGTTTAGAAGGAAAGCTACAAAAACTTTTAAACAAAAAAACAGAAGTCTTAGAATTAGAAAAACACTTGGCAAGTTTACAACAGAATCTTTCCGGCAAATGACTTCGAACAATTTTTCCGCACTTTTATATTTCTTTAGACTTTTAAAAATAAATATGGAAATTGTGCATTTTAACTCTTAGCTTAGCAAAATGTATAAAAAACAATGAAATTGCTATTGTTGATATTGTATTAACGGCATTTCATATTGGAATTGAATTTTACTCGTATAATTCCTGATAATTTGAAAGTAGACAATATTTTCAATCAATAAATTTCACTGTGGTTTACTTATGCTATTTAAAAGAAAATTTAATGCGTTAGGTAGCCTTCATTGGTGAATTTATTATGGTCGCATATAATTAAGTTTCAGCACGATTTCTTTTAATCAAGCGTAAAATAATGGTGTATAATCAAGTTATCTAAATTAATCCTAATAATTATTATAATAAGCTACTAAGTTTTGGTATTTTAAAAAGAAAGATATATATTTATACTAATCGAAAAGAATCATTTTTAAAACCATAATTTGGCTAAGTGTCGATGTATCGAACGGAATAAATGATTTATCTTCGTGAACAAGCCCTTGAACGCGTGCGTATTATCGTCATCAACCAAACTCTGTTATGATAGAATTCTAACATTAAAACTACTTTGTTACATTTCAAATATCGAGAATTTCATCGATTAAATAATTGTTTTCAAATATAAAATTTAAATCATTGTAAAGTTTAAATGGGGTTTTAATTACAGTAAAAATTATAATCTGTTCGTAAATTATAAAGTTTTTTTTTTCATATACCATTTATGAACTTTATTTTAGTATCGACTTTATATTACAGCAAAATTTAAAATCACGAAACTCAATTGTTATAATTTCGCCAAAAGAACAATATTTTCACTCATAAATTGCCTTCGCTAACCTGGTTAGATCAATTTCGAATCATTAAAATTTAATATTCAGTACATGCCGGAATTTGTAGTCCTAAAAAGGCATGTACTATTGATATTTTTTTCACAGTTCACCTTCCTTTATTTTGCATATATACACCTTAATTCTTTCCCTTTCTCCCTTGCGAAATTATCGCCTTCGCTATATTAATTTAACACTGATTAATTAACATTTATTAAATAAATTTCTCTAATTAAAACCTCTGCTTGCTGAATACACACTACCAATCTCTTAATTATATACTTTATTAATTCTCTTTTTATTTAACGATAAAAATTAAGTAAATTATAAATTCCAGTTACAGAAGGAATTTTAAGGATTCAGGATAGATACGTATTAATTTATCAGGTAAATTTGGCAAACTAGTTATTTGGGTATTTTTGCAGTCAAGATAATTTAAGGAAGTTGTAAAGTTGGTAAGCTAGTTATCGTGAGTATTATAGCAACGTAATACTTTTAAGGAGCTATTTATCCAAAGCAGAGAGTTGCTAATTTGCGATATCTTTGCAATCCTCCTAAAGTGTTTAATTAGTATCAGTAATGGTTAAACTATTAATCGTGTCTTCATAAATAATATCTAAATTGTCGATTTTTCTTTCACCTTCTCGCTCTCTAATATTTCAATCCAATCTAAATCTTGTTTGGCTTTGGCTTCTTCTAATCATTTCTTGTTTATCTTTTGTTGCTTCTTCTTTCTCTAAGCGCTTCATCTAATACATTTAAAGTTGCTTGCTTTAATTTTCTCTTTTAGTTCTTCAAGTTTTTCTTCCAAGATATCAAGATCTTTTTTGCTTAGCTTTGGATGCTTCTTCTCGTTCTCTAATCGTTTCTTCTAGCTCATAAATCTTGTCTTGGGGTTCTTTAAGGTTGCCGGGCAAAACCCCGAGGTTTCGACAGGCATCGAAATCGAAACCCATCGAAACGTTTTGCCAAATTT